AAACGTCCTCCACACTGGCAAACCATTTACACTTGGTGTTTCGTCAGTCGCTTGACGAAGGCCGCCTTCCCCCTGCTTGGAAGGAAGCGATTGTCACGCCAATCTACAAAACTGGTGACCGACCATCGCCTGGAAGCTATAGGCCTATAAGCCTAGCGTGCCGTGCAAGATGATGGAACGCATTCTGAAGCGAGCCATCCTAGATCACCTTACTTCCAGCAATCTAATATCTCCAACCCAACAAGTATATCTCCCAAACCGCTCTTGCGTGACAAACATGCTCCTGTTTATGGACAGCTTAACCCAAGTCAAGGACGAAGGACTCGTATCGGATGCCGCTGACCGAGAAGAACAAAACCGACCCGGGGAACTTGGGCAAAAGCCTCGATCCTGTGTCAATCCGTGAATCCGTTACTCCGTGAATCCGTGAATCCTGGATCGGGGTGAATCCTGAACTGAACGAAATTCGCTGTTGTTTATTTGTACTGTAGGGTGCGCGCTACGTTTCTTTTCTCCGGACGTTGCACGCTTGTACAAAATGACCAACACGAAAGGCTACCGCCGCGGCACAAGGCACTTGTTTTCCCGAGCCTTCCGAAGGCATGGACCCCTCCCGTCCTCTGTGTATATGCGCGTATATAAACGCGGCGATATTGTAGACATAAAGGGCGATGGCGGTGTTCAGAAAGGAATGCCCCATAAGTCGTACCACGGCCGGACTGGCCGCGTCTACAATGTCACTCCTCATGCTCTGGGGATAATAGTTAACAAACGTGTCGGGTAAGTTTGTGTGTTTTCGTTATTCCTCAGTAAGCGTATCGTACCCAAGCGGATAAACGTTCGTATCGAACATGTGAAACCCAGTAAATGTCGTGAAGATTTCTTGCGGCGGGTGAAAGAAAACGATGTAAAAAGGAAAGAAGCGAAGTCTTCTGGGAAATGGGTTGAACTGAAGCGAAAGGTGAGCCGTATAAGAGTGATAACTAACCCTAAGTTAGCCAGCACAGCCTCGTCCAGCTCACATCGTAAAGACGAAGAACAACAAAGTGATTACTGTCCATCCTCTCCCGTATGAACTGATCGCGTGAGCACACCAATAAAACTGGTCTATCGAATTAACCGGTTGTTTTCCATGTTCATCTGCATAAAATGTGTGGCAAACCAGTTTCAGCGTGACCGCGGTTGGGAATTCATGCTTACATACATACCAAGTAACATCCGGTGCCTTTCCGAGTAGATGACCATTGCTGCAGGCTGCCTATTCGTATAGCAATAACAGGTGTAGTTCGTTGAGATGGGGAATACAGGCGTTATCGGGGGAAGTTCCTATCGGTGATCAGTATTTCCATTGCATTAGTTTGACTTTGTTTGGGCTGGTGCATAACCAGGCCGTATGCACGACGGAATTCGTCGGCAGAAAGGAGAACAACCGCTTGTAGACTGCCTGCTCAATGTGCTCTTCCTGTGCCATTTAGTCAGTGCCTCTGTCCGCAGCGCATTTCGAATAGGTTCTTTGCGTGACATTTAGAACCAGTTCTTTGAAGGTGGCAGTGGAATCGAACGTTACCTTGGGATGCGGGACCGGGCTGGTACCAAGTGGCACCCAGCGATTACCGGAGGCCGCAAGTATGCCAAAGCGGGCTTTTCGAACAAGACTGGTCTGCCGGGGGTACTTGTTCGTGCCATTCGTGAGCCTGTCAAGGTCCACGCGGACCATTTGGTGCAAATCGCTGGGTTGTATCCTTACCAAAATGGTTCCAACAGTGTACCCTATCTAGGTTCTCTGCGCGCCTATCAGTTCAATCACGATTGTTTTGGGAGTAGCGTAATCCGAATTCGGACGCGGAATACGTCAGGTAAAACGAGGTAATCTAGGAAGGGCCATGGTTAGCGCAGCGAAATTGCTTCGCTGCATACACCAATATCTTAAGACAATTGACTTATCCTTATCATCCTGAAAGCTTAGCTGCCAGAAAGCAAACGTATATCTATATGCCTCTCCATGTTGATTGGCCATCAGTCAACCCGGCATTGTGAGCTTTTCTTGGTTTTAAAGTTCGAAGTTACATGCAGAGGCTCAATTCCGATACAATTATAATGTCGTACTTGCTCATCTCTCACAATCGGCGAACTTCCTCGCGTTTAGTGCTGGTCAGACGAAGTTGCGTTGCTAATCACGCCAGGTAACCAGTTTTTGCGCTGATAGGATCTGCAGAACTCGGTGGTTATTTCTGTAACCCGACATGCCATTTCACTTCCGATATCTCAGCAGACAATTGACTGCCGGGTAAGCAAAACAGACAGGTTTCCAAGGGCCGGCATGCGAGCCATCAGTGATGAACACTGATTTGTTATGGATGATAAAGCCCAAAGGCGTTTTGAGTGCGCGGCTGAGTGTTTTTAACGGCAGTTCACTTCATCGTTCTCTTTTGTTCTCATGCTTTCCAACCTGCCCGACTCGGTACATTGTCTGTGACTTTAGGGTTCTGTTTGTTTCTGAAGTACTTGTATATCTTTCTGTATGACGCGCCATCTGGCCACATGGAAGGACACCGACATTATCCGGGAACGTTGGTGGATCCCCGTAAACCTCAGTTGGGCTGCTTAATCCAATTTAAAATGGATCAGTCAATCATCCTTATGTCATTCAAATGGTTACCCGGAGTGAGCGCTCAAACAGTGGGTTCATAAGCCATGTTCCTTAGGAACGCACCCACCTTGTCCGGTAGTACCGTAGCACCTTTTCCTCTTCCGAGATGCGGTTTCGAGAGCTTCAGGCATAAAGTGCATTAGGCACCCATTCACAGTACTTCTGTTGCTTGAGTAGCGTGATGTAAACAGTCAACCGGCATTGTTAGCTTTCATCGGCTCCAGCTCTTCAATACGCCTGGCCAACGGTTAATGTTCACCATTTGTGTGCTGATTTGTCATGCCACCTGTTTCCACGCCTGTGATCGCTTTGGCGTTTACGTAGAGCAGTCCGATTGCTTCCGCTTTGTTGTCCTTATTTTCGACCAGTATGATCCTTGACTTTGACTAGTGCACTCTCTAGGTCACCGTGAACACGATTGTCTGAATCATTTCAAGAGAGGTTAGCGGACTTCTATTATGCGGACAGCTGTCACACTTTACAGAACATCGCAGATGATCTCTTTCTTGAGGTGCGCAGACCTTAGGGTTCGCCACACTCGGGGTAGGCTTTTGAAACTCCAGGATGACGTGCTTGAGGTTTCTTAATATATCTGCTGAGAATGACGCGAATGCACTGAAAGCGATGCAAGTTGCCCCAGTTATGAGCGGCACTCACTATTTCGCGTCATCTTTGATGTCAGGAGTGAACACTGACGTTGACGGACCACGTTCACAAGACGACCATTAAACGTTTATAGCCACAAAACGTGGTTTCTCTGAGAAACTCAAAAATATTCGACAACTTCATGAAGAGACGGCGTTAGTAGTGACGATCTGGATACCTCGGTGACCCACTGAGTTATACTGGAAGGTTTCCTTGCGACACTCGCAGAGTCTCATCAGATTGGTCAATGGTTACGGGTCTGACCAACACAGTTTTCTGGTCCTCCAGGTTGGTAATTGGATCGTCTGGCGACTTATTCTGCGAAAATTTGAATGTGCTTGAATATCCCACCTTGCGACTGGCGTTTGAGTCAAATTTTTTTGTTGCGGACCCTAATCGTTCTTCTCTCTAGGTCTGGGAACCCTTGCAGTCTACTTGCCCATATACAACCACGAATTGCACACATACGAATAATCTCATGCCATATCGGCCGCCCGATGGTGACAACAATAGAGTGGCCTTACTTGATGTATACAGCAACACGGAAAAGCGAAAACAGACCAATACTGGCGCCTGCCTTCCTCTTTCACACGCTTTTCTCCTATCTCTTTGTAGGCCCGTTACTTAGGACTGATGACTTCATTAGTCCTGGATCGCTTTTGTAAGCAACATCTGCCCGTCATCCGGTGCCGGCATCCTCAGGCATCTCAAAATCAATCTTTAGCCAAAAAACAGTCTCGGGTTGTCTTCAATGTCCGCACTCCGAAGCAAACTACTCCTGCTCTCACACTGTCAGACATGGCCGTTTGGCAGTGGTCAGTTTATCAGGGACAAGAATTGAGGGTGCAAGCACGGTGGTTGACCTAGTCGCCCCATCACTTTCCACTCGCCTCTGATGGTCCAGAGACAGGATGTGCAGCGTTTGCTATCATCCTAAGTTACCGGGCGAAAAGATTTTTACTTGACTGGATACCCTTCTGTGTGCGGTTTGTCTAGCAGCCTCAACGAAGCAGTTTCACAAGCGGGAAGTTGATCGATATGTGTGCCGTGTCTGCTAATGACCCAACTGACTGGCGCCGACACCATCAAAGACAATTTTTATGGCAGCCTGAATGCCCCGTTGTGTTGCCGGGGATACGAATGCTCAAATGTTCGACATGGATTGGACTCGGATTACTTCAGCTATGTACTGAACACTGACTGGTCTTCTACAGCACTGACTCTCGAAATAGCCGAAGTTGTCTGGCTACATGGCGTTCTCCAACGGCATGCGGGTTTTAAACTCAAATTGACCACATTGTCGTCGATTACCAATGCCGTGAATCAATGACTGACGGCCGCCTAAGAGCAGCAAGCGACATTCTGGCCTGGTAGGGGTTTCGTTGACGAAGTCTTCACCCCGTGTCATGTGCTAGAACAACGCCATACGTACGAATGACTAACATTCCGGGATTTACAAAGCGCATTCGACTCCATTGACCGGCCATTTCTCAAGACTTTCTAAGCATGACATCACCCGGTAGTCTGTGTATACTACACACAGAGGTTTCGAAAAGCTTCCATACACGAAGCGGCGTCCGTCAGCTGTGCCCATTATCTCCACGCCTATTGAGTTCCGTGGTAGATGAGATAATGAAACGAACCCTGGAAGGTTTTTAAAATCCTGATGTTCAAACAGCCTCTAAAGAAAACCTTCTCGGTCTAGAATATGCGACTGATGTTCTCGTCTTCGAGGGTGGGGATAGAGCGCAGATATTTCTAGCTGAAGTGACAAAAGCAGTCCCGTTCTTTGGTATGAACATTTCACACAAAGCATAAGGTCGTGCTCCTTGGCATGCAGTCATCGAACACTCCACCTACAATCCAGGAAGGGGTAGTTGAAGTTGCGGAGCGTTTGACGTACCTTGGGAGTTGTGTTAGTTCTGATTGTAGTGTGACAGGTGAGGTCAATGCACGAATCTGCAAGACTCGGATTGCGTTCGCTCATTTGAGACACCCATGATATCAAAGCGGTATATCCCTGAATCCCAAGGAACGTGTGTACGGGCTATTTTGTTGTGTGGCTGAGACTAGGCCCGAGACACCTTTGGGTGTTCGACAACGGTTGTCTTACATAATCCGTGTGAGTTGTTGGGGAGTCCATAACGACGAAATCAGAAAGCGAGTCTTCGGTTATGTAACAGGGATTTCCATTGAAGGGTATGTCTAGCACCAGAAGCTGCGTTGGCTAGGCCATGTATTGCGTATACCAAACCATCCTTTGTCGAAGATATGGCTGCTAATCGATGTCGATGTCTTTCTTGTGGTCAGTCTCTATCCAGGTTGTCTGAATGAGCTTTCCGCTTTAAACCTCTTGGAGGAGAGTTAGCGGACGATTGAGCTTCATGTGATGACGCGTAATGAGAGCGGCTACTATCAGACTGAGAGGAAATGGGTTTCCGTATCTTCCTGGATGGGATCCACCTACATGGAATCCCTGGAGGACACGGTCCGAGCCTAAAGCTGCCATCTTGACGTGGTAATCGGGCTTCAATGTCGTAATGATCTCGTGGCTGGCTGGAACTTCGTTTCACAGGTTTCAACCATACCTGAAAGGCTAATGCGAAGCAGTCAAACCAAGACTAGAGAGGCCCCATACTACTAATTTAACGGCGGATACTGCTGATGAGACATGCGAATAGTATGTGATTTTCTCGTAACTCCGCTTCGTGTCCAATGGAAGGCTTATTACGGAATTCGTGGGACCCCTTTGAGGCATTCTTTTGCAGTTGCGTGAGAGTCAATGAATGTCCAGAACAGTTTAAGATGAACATTCAGTTTTTTAAAAACGAGGTGCATATCGGGCTTTAACTTTCTGTTCAAATGTTTGCAACTGTTTGGTTGATGTTTTCTTATAGACAACTTCGCGGCGAATGGCTATCCTGCTTTCACCAGCAATTGTACTCCAAGGCGACTTTTGGGTAATGCTGTACTATCCTTTACAATTGGAGTATTAAGGCAGTCAGAGTGTTTCCTCCTTATTCGTGGATGCAACGATGCTACCTCTCCCCGAGGAAGGATGTGTTATAGAAGCTCGTCCCTAAAAACCGCATACTCCATTCGCCCAACGCCACGGCCGCCGGTCGAATACTTTCAAAACGAGAGTCCGAATCAGCTTCAAGGGATCCATGTTGTGCACGGCCGCATTGAGAGTGATACAAATGCATTGCGTCGTGTCATCGGCTAGGCCGACCCCTGCATCCAATTGAGTCACTGTTCGGTCTTCAGCCACATACAGGTCCCCCAAAGTAAACCCTATTGTCCGCGGTTTCGTGCGTTGGACTTTTGAGCTGAAAGCTCAAGGTAGATAATAGGGATAATCGTTCAGCTGTAGCACCCTTTTAGTGCCTAGCTGCCACGCCACCCATTGGAGGCGCGATTGCTGGGGTAGTGCCAGGTTGCCCAAGCCTAGACACGGGCAGTCGAGAGGCAGAGGTCGGATTCAAACCCCGGAGCCTCCGGTCAATGAATTCGCGCTCTAACCACTGAGCCAGCTCAAGGTGGGGTACCTCAGCCAAATCCCTTTTATCGGCCTCGACAATCAGGAGGTGTCACTTACCGGCACACTTTGTCATTCGACGTCTCTCCCTCAACCCCCTCACCATCATTCGTTTGTCAATTACCTGACAGATGTGATTTATTCACCCTGGTGCACCTTAACACTAAACAAAATAACGTTAAATCCATGAGACCCCTTCTTCATTGAATCTATATTCGGCATCGAATTGGCAAACAACCTGTCCTTCCTGAGATCTTACATCCCCTTGAAGTACGCGTATATGACCCAAGTGTAATCGTGAATCTCAAAACGCCAAAGAGGAACTCAGCTTTTTCACATATAACTCTCTGTATCCGGCGGTGAGTCTTGGGTTATGTAGCACGGGAGTTTCTTGCAGCCGGGAGCTGAACATATTTTGTTGTATTGAATTTCAGTGAACAGTCCTTTCTGCGCTGTTCGTTCATCCAGCTCGATCAAGTTTAATTTTACTCGATAAAAGTCGGTGCCTGTTTGTAACATTAAATACCTCATCGGACTACAATTCCGGTGTTGGGAGGGATAATTTCCGTCAAGAGTAATCTGGTCTCGCTCGTCGTGTAGCAAGCACCGAAATGATTCCTGCGGGTGTACAATCCGGTCGTCTTAGCTTGGAATCATGTCTGAGCAATTGATTCGAAGTCGATGCTCGCCGCGCAGACTGCCGTTCTTTCTGGGACATAACTTGATTCGGAGCATACCTCGCAGTTCCCTACCTTCCAGACCCTTGCAAGTCGTTGAGATAGAAGCATACCAAAGCACCATCCTCGGAGAACTCTTATAGTTCAGGAGTATCGGTCTGAGTTAGTCAGGCAGTAAGCCAACACTGCACTGATACGGAGCACGTAGATCAAGCATGGCACACTGTGGAAGCAGCTGTGCTAGTGTCTGTCTGAGGTCTCTGATAAGATCAAATGACCACTGGATGTCGAGATCACCGGTTCTGACTGATGCCAGGAAATCCATATAAGCAGCGAGTGTGACGGCGCATGCAAGTCATTCAAAAACGAAATAGTAGACAGCCCAAGGAAAGATCGGGATTTTTTGTGGACATCGAAACCTCAAGAGATGACAAAGGCCTTTGCTACGGAAATGGCCGTTCTGTATACTACTAATACGATAGGATCACCAGGGGAAAGAATCGGTCAGTGAAACAAGTAAAAAGTGTGGCTCAATAATTTACACGCAAAAACATTGACTGGAGACATGTGTTGAACATCTTGAAGGGTAGCCTAGCTGGCCTGCAACATAATCTCTGGAGGCATGGCATATGAGCAGGTGGAATGTTGACCCTAATCGCCCGTCGGAAGTAACTTACTGTAACGCAAACAGGCACCATGATCGGATGGTCTGTATACATCCTCCTTCAAAGTAGATGGAGATCTCTTATTGGCGTTCTATCCAGAAGAAGAAGTGTTTAAAGAATGAGGCAAATCGACAGTCATTACTCTTCACAAAAGGTACGTAGACGGTGCGTAAACCACCGTGGCACCAGCCTGGTAGCTGTGGCATGGAAGGTGCTCTCCGCTCCTACCCTTCGAAGGCCTACGGGAAGCTCTCGCTTGAGTTCACCACATCAAGCGCATCAGGCAAGTCTGTCCTCTCACCTTTCCTCTTTACTCATCCATCAGTCATACAATACATATAATAATATACTGCATATATGAGGCTGATAATGCCTGTGGGGTGGAAATGCCCTCAGAACACACGCTCACGCAGACGACAAGTCTTCTCAGATCCGACGCCATCTTAATGCAGACAACAATGTGTAGTCTGGTTCCGCATACGCTTCACCCCTACAAAGTGTAGAGTGCTGCTGCGTGACCGGGTGGTCTGGAACCCCAAGCGCATGCTTTCGGGTGAACCGATTGAGGTAGTAGACATTCGTCTATCCGGGCAGCTGCGTCAATTCCGGTGATCTAGCCAAGGACGATATTTCCATCCGATTCGGGAATTTCAGAACAGCTTATGTGAACCTGCATCACCTGTGTTCTAGGCATGATATTAGTTTATCCGTCTAGGGTCGAGCTTACAATGTTGTGGTGCGCTGCGTATGGTTGTACGAGTCAGAAACTGGCCGCTGAGCGTGAGGACGCCATTTCCAGTATTTACCGTCGATATCGTCGGAACACCGCCAAAATCTTGGGGGAACACCGGATCACTAATATCTAAGATGCACGCTTTCAAATAATTTAAAGACCTCTAACCGAATTACAATAATATGAGCGTCTGAACGAGATGACTTGGTGGTTAAAGCGCGGATTTACTGACTGGACGGTCCGTTCGAATCAGA